TGCCTCTCGCCTGGTTGGCGCTGCCGCCAAACACAGCTCCGAGCCCACCTCCCTGCCGGTGTGCACGGTGTGCTGGGACTCAGGCTGGGGCTCTAGGGGACGGGTGCTGATGTCAAGGACGGCACCAGGAACACCAGCCAGAGGACGGAGGGAAGAAATCCCCTCCCAGAGTCGTCCATCGATTCGTTCATTCACACAGTTCACCTTCCCGGGTCCATCCTGCGATGTGGAGAGCTGAGCCGGAACAACTTAGCAACCGCTTTCTATCGTCAAGGGCCACATGACCTCACTGAGGACAGAAATAAGGTGAGGGGAGGAGGTGGCAGGTTACAAAACAAGGACGCCATAATCGATAGCTGCTTGGAAGGTGCACTGACAAAAACAGCAACCAGGCCACCGAGGCACAGGTGCCAGGAAGGGTGTGCAGGTTGAGCGTTTTCCCCAGCGAGAGAAACTGGGGGCAGTGACTTCATTATCAGGCTGGAACCTCAGGGTAAAAAATGTCAGATCTTTTCAACTTAAACATACCGAATGCAAGCTGAGTTGAAATTCTCATGGGTTTCGGGGTGGGGTGGGGTTGGGGCAGTGATGGGGCTTGGCAAAAATCTGAAAAAAAAATACATGTTTGGAAATTTACAAGTTTATTTTCCCCCCACCCCTGTGCTGGGGATTGAACCCAGGGCCTCAGGTATGTCAGACAAACATTCTTGTCACTGAGCTACATTCCCATGCCTCAATTTTTGTTTTGTACTGGGGATCTATCTCAGGCCCTTGCTGCTTGCAAGGCAGGCGCTGGAGCCACTGAGCTAAATCCCCACCCTCAATTTTTAATTTTTAGTTTTTTGAGAGGGGTCTCTTTCTAATTTGGCCTTGAACTTGTGATCCTCTTGCCTCAGCTTCCTGAGTGCTGAAGAATTTCTTTTTTAAAGGAATAACAGGGTAGGGTCAGGTGTGGTGGCACATGGCTGTAATCCCAGCACTCGGGAGCCTGAGACAGGAGGATCACTGTGAATTGAGGCCAGTCTGGGCTACATAGTGAGTTCCAGGCCACACTGAACTTCATGGCAAGATCCTGTCTCAAAACAAAACAAAAAACCCTGCAGACAAAAAAGAGGCCTTAGGGTGTTTCTCCAGCTTCAGACTTCACTTGGGGTAAGGATGGGGCCCTTGCTGTTCCCTCTAGAGATATTCTTTGGGGGCTTTGCCTTCATGAGACTGATGAGAAGCAATTAAACCCAACCCTGTGTCTGGTGTCCCCTGATGTCTGCTCTTCCAGGAGGCAGCACGAGGTTATATATCTTTCTTTTTCTTTCTTTCTTTCTTTCTCTCTTTCTTTCTTTCTTTCTTTCTTTCTTTCTTTTGTATGAGGATCAAACTAGGGACCTTTCATTTGCAAGGCAGGCAGTGGAACCACTGAGCTAATTCCCTGGCCAGTCATATATCTTTTTATTTTTGAGACAGGGGTCTCACTATGTAGTTGAGACTGACCTGGAACTCACTATGTAGCCCACGCTGGTCTCGAACTCACAGTGATCCTACTGCCTCAGCCTCCCTAGTGCTGGGATAACAGGCATGCGCCACCACACCTGGCTCCAAGTCATATATCTTTAAAAAAATAGTTATCGAAACTGATCATTGCAAATTACTGGATCCAGTTTTTTTTTTTCCCTTGCTGGTACTGGGAATCATACTAAGGACGTGGTGTTTGTGAGGCAGGCACAGTGCCACTGAGCTAAATCCCCAGCCGATCATTGCAAATTAGAAAAAAAAGGACAGAAAGGAAATCCCCCATGAGCCCAGTATACAACACGTATTTATTCATGTTCAGTTTTGTGCCCTGCTGAGTTCCTTTGAAGACACAATTTCTGATGGCTGCCTGCTATTTTCCTCGAGAGGCAGACACCATGATTTATATAGCTGTTCCCTTAAAGTTGATGATTTTCCAGACAGCTACTATAAATAATGTTTCTGTTGGGTGTGATGGCGCATGCCTGTTATCCCAGCACTCCGGAGGCTGAGTCAGGAGGATCCCTGTGAGTTGGAAGCCAACCTGGGTTTCCTAGTGAGTTCAAGGCCAACCTGAACTACACAGCGAGACCCTTTCTCAAAAAAAATTTTTTTTTTCTGTGCACAATCTTTTGACTTTAAAAAACCCCACTCTGGATTATTTTCTTGGGCCCAATTTCCATAGGTGGAGTTACTCCATCAAAGAGCAGAATGTGTTCTCAGATCCTGATAGAAAATTTGCTGATCGCTTTGCAACAAGATGCACAGGCAGGGGTTTTCTGTCTTCACCAGCACTGGGCTTGTTAGCATTTCTTTGTTCTGTTTTTTGAAGCAAATTTTTTTATTTTTTATTTTTGGTACTGGTGATTGAACTCAGGACCTTGCACTTTGTGAGGCAGGCATGGTGCCACTGTACTAAATCACCAGCCCTGTTCTGTCTTTTAAAACAGGGTCTCGCTGGGTATTTCAGGCTGGTCTTCAACTCCTGGCGGTCCTCCTGCCTCAGCCTCTTCAGCTGGGATTCCAGGCCCGTGCCACCACGTGGGCATCACTAGTGTTTTTACTTTGGCAGTTTGTAAATCTGTGTGCCAGTCCAGTGTGGAGGGTTATGCAACGTCACCCCCACACGCCTTTGGGAAGGGGTAACCATTTTACAGGCAAAAGGAGTGGAGAGGTCGCTCCTGTCTTCCAGGCTCGCCTAGCCTGATGGTGCGGGAGCCCTGGACTCCAAGGCAGGTCCCTCATCAGGGTGTCACCTGCTTCCACCTGGTTGGCAGCCTGTGCGGTCTTCACTCGCTCCTGTCCCAGTCTGCACTGCCTTAGCCTCGATTCTCAGGAGGGCGCATTTTTTTCCAATCCGAGGATTTGATGTTGTTACCCGCGAGCTTCATGCCCTTCTCTAGAGTTCCCTACCCTTCAGGGACGCAGCTACAGCCCGAAGCCCAAAGGCTCCTCATTTGCCAGGCTGCCTTTCCAGGTGTCCCCGGGTCCGGCATGGTCCCCACCCCGAGCTCCGCCCCGCACGACCACTTTCGCGCCTCTGGGTCCCAGCTCCCGCGCCTCCGGCCCAGGTCCAGTTAGACACCTGAGCCGCGGCTGGGGACTGCTGTAGATTCGGCCCCGCAGCCTGCGGGCAGCGCCTGTCACCTGACTGCAGGGATTTGTTGACGCGGCCTGGCTGCTGTCAACTCCGGGGCCCTAGCGCCACCTCGCGCCCCTTTCCCGCACAGTCGGCGCAGAAGGCCCCTTGAGCAGCTCGCCCCGGGCCGGGGTCGGTTTTGAGCCCGCAGAAAAGAGAAAAAATGGCTCCCTGACAGGCAGATTGTTTAGGCAGCGGGATAGAGGACGGAGTGGTCATTAAGAAGGGTCTTGGGGGGCAGTCCCATTTTGGGGAGAGGTGGATGAGGGTTCAGAGCAGGATTTTTTTTTGTTTTTGAGACAGGGTCTCGCTATGTAGTTCAACCTGGTCTTGAACTCACTATGTAGCCCAGGCTGACCTCTAACTAGCGGCGATCCTCCTACCTCAGCCTCCCAAGTGCTGGGATGACAGGTGTGCGCCCCCTCGCCCGGCCAGGTAAGGTTTCATAACTGAAATCTCACCCCAGCTTTCGGGCCAAATCTAATAGAAAAACAAAAGAAAAGAAAAGAAAACAAACTTCCGCC